TATATGCAGTGATAACTATTCAAACACTGTAATTCAGTAGGCTGGTAGTCATTGGTGTGCATTGCCCGTTATGAGACAGAAGCTTTGAGATGAATGAGTAAAGAGATTAATTCAGATAGAAGAAAGGCAGGAATACGCAACAGATGGCGAATAGAAAGAAAGTGCCAAAACATTTCACTGCACCTCCTTTTGTCTCGTCCCACAAGTGAGGAGCAAAGGAGGTAAGAAGATGCCTGTGTATTATCCTCACCGCAAATATATTTCAGAAAGGTTTGTGTCAATCACTTATTGGATATTTAAATTTCTTTGAGCCGGTCAAGTGAAGGTCTCAGTTTAGTTTTTTCTAGGCACACGTCAGTCGGATGATTCATTTGTTGATCACCTATCTCTTCCTCCACCATCGTCTCACTTAAAGGTCCAGTGTGTAACATTTAGCAGGATCTATTGGCAGAAATGGAATATAATATTCATAGGTATGATTTCATTAGTGTATAATCACCTGAAACATTTTTGAAGTGGATTAAAGAAAAACAGCTGCATCAATTTCATCCATGTTTGTTGACATATTCTTGTTTAGTCCAGTCTCCTAGAAATTGCAGCTGTATCATGTTAATTTGCACCTACCTACCTACCCTTAATTCTACCCAGATTACATTTTTAACATTATAATGAGGAAACATTGTTAATTAATGTATTTGGCAAGTTACAAAATGTTGACACTGAACATATCAGTAAAATGTTCACTGACAGTGTATTTCATTGTTTTCCTACAATATTCACTTTTACAATACAATGTCCACTCTTGGTAAATATATAAAATATAACATTATGACATTTTTCATTGCTATGATATCTCTCGCAGCTTGGTAAATGATTGATTCTTTAAGATAGTATTGTATTTTCATGCACACCTCACTCTGATGTGAAAACACACTATGTTTCCACATGCTTGGAGTGACATGCGGAATAATAATACCATATTAAATCCAAATGACATGTTGCCTGTCACTCAACCTTACTTCCAAAATTATTATTTTTTAGCTTTTGATGCTACCACAGAGCTTTTGGAGCACCACTCCTCACACAACTGATTGTGACATGTCACAATACTTGTCACATGGGAGAAGCAAAGCTTACCCATGTCCCTCTGGAGGGAAAGATGTGGTGTAAGACTGTTACATAAACTCCAACAGCACATCTTTTGCACACACTTCATGAAACATTAATGTTCTCAGGTAAGCTTTTAAAAGGTATTTGAGGGTTAATGTTAGCGTGACTGCAATGGTGAATGGTAGCTAACATTTGAATTAACATGGACTAGTTCAAGGTGCTGTCTGACAGATAAACCGGATAACAGTTTATATAATCCGTTAATAATTAATAATTTTTTAAGCAAAAATTCAGATCATTCTTCAGCTTCACAGATTTAATTTTTGGATTTTTGGAACACAAAAATGACCAGGAGTGTCTTGATGACACGTTTATATTGTGTTTGCTGTGACTGCTTTCAATGTGACATTGAGAGCAATGAAAAACTAAAGTCAAATTCCTTGTATGTGTACACATACAATCAAGCTAATTCTGATTCTGAAGCTGTCGTTTGCTTTGACAATACCTCAATACAGCTCTGACACGACTGTGAGTGAACAGTAAACACTGAGGCTGATATTAATCAAAGCTGAATTACATTCATGCAAATCCCCTCGTGACTAAATGAGCAATCTGAACCCAGCACTAGAATGGCGGACTCCACCACTACCAGTAAGGACTACTGTATAGAGAGGTAATTCCTTATCTGAATGACATCGATTGATGTGTTTATTTAGTAATATTTGACCAAAATCATAATATTTCCTTAACCAAAGGGCTTTTGTTGCTCAAACCTAAACACACACTAGGATGTGACTCCCACTGTTTAGCATCAAGTTTCCAAGCACTAATACTAATACAACATACATAACAAGGAAAACAAATAACTTATATTATTAAAATGTAACTTCTAGAAAACAACATTTTCCTGTCACTATGTTTCTGGCACAGAAAGATAATACCCCAAATCTTAATCCTGCCTACAAAACTCTGATTGGTTGTTTTTCCAAACAGGCAAACAGACGTCAGTAAGCACAACACTAGGCCTATTTAAACCATTGAGAAATCTGTGGGCGGTAATTGAAAGGTCTGGAACCGGGCTATAAATGTCGAGAAAGGATGAAGGAGCTTTGAGTTGAATGAGGGAAGCGAGAATGGAAATTTAAAAGCCTGTGATGGAATAATTCCATATTCTGTTTTCATGACGCTTTACCACTTCTTGAAGTCTTTGCAGGCTTCTGATTCACATTCATTTGCCGCTGCTTAAAAGATGAGAAAGGATCAGCCTAATCAAACAGTGGTGCCCACATCCCAGAAGAGAGCTCAGTCTCTACAGCGTGTACATGAAAGCTTAGTTCACTGTCATTTCAGTTCTCTGTAAATGGTGGTACAATACCATAATGACTGAATAATTGCTAATAATTATTTCCAAATAATTCAAACAAATACAGATCTCTCTGGAAGAATTTTCTCCTTCTCAAGTCTGACTCAACAAACAGTTTTGAGCTTTAGTGAGATGCTGTGAATAGCTATGTACAAAGTGAATGACTTGTGAGACTGGGATCTCAGTGGGTGTATGTCCGTGCATGTATGAAGCGTGCACTGACTTTGAAATCCTGGAAGACGCTTAGGTTTCGGGTTTCTCCACATTTGCATAAAGACATGACCAAGAAGCGGTTTCCTGAAGGGGTACTCATCTTTTGGTTTCACCTGATATGACTCTGCAACAGGACAACTGGATACAGTGGGACTGAGCTGAGTTATTTACAAATGATCTATCATGCTGTGGACAGTTGTACAACAAATACAAAAATTAAGTCTTCAATATTAAACTTGGATTCCTCTCTCTCCTGCCAAAGCACGGTTTGTCATGCATGTCATCTTTATACGTACAACTGACAGTAAACACCTCGTTCTCCATCTGCGAGTGTCCTGACAATCCATGCTGACAACTGACAGCCTGAGCTGCTTGACACCTGACATTTGTTGTTTTTGCTCTTGTTTGGATCATTTTCTGAAATATTATTTCTGTAGTAAGAGCATGTAGAGTTTAGGCGCTGCATTTGTATTTTATTGTTAAAGCTGCAATAATCAATACTTAATAATCACTGTGAAAGGGGTAGTGACTCTGCAGTTCCTCTTGACTCTATGCAGTGTTTTTTTTTATCTCATTGTTTAGATTTTTTTAAATTCACAATCAGAGCTCTCATCTTTGTCATTTTTTGGCCCCAACTGGCAGCTATTTTCAATGACTAGCTGGTGATCATGGTGAAGCATTTGGTAGTTAAAGAAAGAGATAATTGGTGGAGACCAGAGCTATTATAGCTTTTTATTTTTCTTTTTTTTTTTTTTATTTTTTTAATTTTGTTTTTTTAAAACCTGTAGTTTTAGTTTAGTTTTTTATAATAGAATAGAGTTTCACTATTAGCTTCAGTTTTGTTATCATAATATGAGGGGTATTATCAGAATAGGTATTACTGTACAAACACATTGAGTCGTAGTCATCCCAGTGTCAATAAATAAATGCACCAATGCCTCCTCATGCTTGTTGTGTTGACAAATAGGACTAAAACCTAAGACATTTCCTTTATATTTTATTGTAGTTTAGTTTTGTAAGTACACAATATCAATTAAATTCGATTTTTTTCTTCTAAAATCTAATTATTATTATTATTATTATTATTATTATTATTATTATTATTATTATTATAAAAAAAAAAAAAAACTAAAATGTGCCTTTCACACCTAGTTTTCATTTTTTATTTAGTTTTAGTTAACTATGAATACCTTGGTTGAGTCCAAAAACTAAAAGGAGAGTGAATATTGGACTTGCATTCATTGTATGGATAGAAACATGACTCTAAAAGAATGCTAATGTTGCTCTGTGCCTGCTGGATGTGTAAATAGGCAACTGTTTGCATCTCACTGCCCCTAAGTGGCCAAAAAATCAATTCATGCTGCTTTTTCAATTTATGTGGCCTAAAGACCCACTGGTGTATGTTTGGAGACACACATCACAATACCCCCTTTTCACAACAGCCATTTTGACATGAAATAGTAGGGTAAACATAATACCAATGCTACTAATTAACGTTCTGTTCCATTCAGGTCAAACAGAGTCAGGGTGCTGCTGTTATGCATGTTGGCTCAGTCGAAAGACTCTGCTACACTAAATGGAACGGAATTGTTAACACCTGTGTTTACCCTACTATTTCATGTAAAATGGCTGCTGTGAAAAAGGTCTATTGCAGAGTTGATTAGTATAACATTTTATTTACTGATCAAAGACACTTAGAACAAGAGCCACACCCTCCATTTGTGTTCCATCCGTGTGTTGACATGCCCATTCTTAACCTGCCTGCGCCAGATGGTTTGTTACACAGAACCATCTGGGAAGCCATCATTGGAAACTGTTTAAAAAAGGGAAAACACTTTCAAAAAAGTGACTGATTACCTTCTTAATCCCACCTTCAAAATTCGGATTGGCCGACTGTTGGACTGGGCTTTTTTCCTCTGTTGTATTTCCATTTCCTGGTCAAAGAGACTTGTCTTTTCATCTCTGATGTGAGCAATCGATCAGCAGCGACATTTAAACACTGAATGAGTGAGAAGGGGAGGGGATTGCAGATGGACCCACAGCTGTTTGTAGCTCTGTGTATGATTGATAACACTCAACCTCTCAGTCCATCATGGAAACAAAGAACTGCACGGACGCTCTTTCTGTCTGCTCACTCGTCTCGTCGCACTCTGGTCCAACAGCTGCAGCCATTAACAAAGAGAAACAGAAATACATTTATTGTCAAATGCTGCATTGATATTTCTGCTTTGATTGATTTTTCACTTCACATTACAGAGCGAGTTCAACTTTTGATTCATCTTGTCTGTGCATGTGTGTTGCTTGTGTTTTCCAGTGCTGAGCCCCTGCCCTGTTGCTGCAGCCAGAAGGTGTCACTCCATCTATAAGGGTTTCGCTCAGTGTCTGATGGCTCTGGGTGACAGTCTGACGGACAGTGCCCGCAAGGATGAAGACACACACGAGATACACACCATCTGCAGGTCAGTGTGTAATCACACACAAACACACATACCAAAGCACTGAGTCGCTTAAATAGGAAGTCTGCTGCATTTCAGTATTCAAATATGCATTTCTAAACCCCACAGGGCAGTTGGGTCAGTATTAGTGAGTATTCAGTTACTTTAGGAGAGAGGGTTTAGAAAACAAAGACAGAAGCTCTCTGGGGAAAGCAGCAGGCATTCTCTGAGCTGGAACTGACTATGCAAGGCTTTTGGAGAGAAAAGTTTAGACAAGCATTTTACAATTCCACAAAATCATTCTGCTATCTGATATCAATATGGCACGTCCAAGCCTTACTTCTGTACAATTAATTCCACAGATCAAAGTCTTGGCTCTCTAATCCCTCTCTGGACTAACTCCTGGCCTGCTCACACGTTACAAGAATAATATTTGATAAAATAGCTGTGTGTGAACAAAGTCCAGGTGAACGTCATTTTGTCCCTTTAAGATTGTATCTTCAGTTATATTGTACCCTTGTTTAACAATGTAGGCCAAAACATTTAGTAAAAAAAAATTATTTGTATTTTATATCAAAATACAATATTTTTTTCTACCTGTAAAACAAACAGTGACATGTGTTTATGTAAGCATGAACTGACTAATTTCAACCAATATCATGACATTCACCCGTCAAGTCAAGAGTCCGCTACAGCTGCTGGACTGGGAGATAGACAGTGCTATTGGCTCCCTCTCTAGCTGCCTGTTTTTTACAGGAAACACATAAATATGCAGAGGCAAATAGCACCATTTCATGTGGACTTGTGTGGACACATTAGTAAATGTACCTTATACAAATTGGACTATGTCACTACAGTTTCATGGCTGTTGTGAAGGAGAATCAGGGTTTTAAAATGTGTTAGTGTATATGTAATCATGGACAGGGGCTTTAAAGGTAATTTACTACATGCTTTAAATTAGACTCCCCAGTAGTATTACCTACATAAATAAGAGAACGGAGCTGCCTGTTCAATACACTTGACATGGATAGGGAATCCTGCACAGTGGGCCGAATACTTTGAAGAGAGAGCTGCAGTTAGTAGATTCAATTCTGTGTCATCAACAGCAAGATATTGAAGACGCTGGTGCACCAAACTGACATCAAGGTAGTTGATGTTTCCCCCTCCACTGTTGCAAACTAAACTTTCATTTGCCATTGAGAATTCCCCTTGTGATGCGTCTTTGACGAGCACACATCACAGGATTGTGATATAGTCCCTGATTAAATAAAAAATGATTTTACTGACTTGGATTACGTGAGAGGGATAATGAGTCTTTCACAAAACCAATGATTACAGTGATTTATGCAGCATGACTGCTAGATTGCCGTAACTCTGCCAGGAGTCAGTTGGATTTGAAGGAGAAATCACTTCCAACATGTTTATCTTGCTCAGTATGTGTCATTTTTTTTTTTTTGTGCCGAGGTATCACAGTTAATTTGACAATGTTGAAAAAGACTAAATGCAGCAGCTTCAAACTGAGTGATTTTAATCTCCACCATTAAGTCCTCTAACCTTTTAGTTTCAGGAATTATAAACTGTAATGATACTATGGCCGTTGTTCATATTTGTCCATTTTACCAAAGTGAACATTTTTTGTGGAAACAGCATCTCGAGTGCAGACCTGTGTGGGTGATTCCTATGACAGCTGTGACATTTGAGAATCATAACCCTGCATGGCATACAAACACTGATCCAAGACCTTTTTCACCCTTTTTCAAGAAGCCTAAGGTAACAAAGACACAACAATTCCTATATTCAGGTGATTATACACTAATGAAAACATACCACCTATGACTATTATATTCAATTTCTGCCAATAGATCCTCCTAAATTTTACACACTGGACCTTTAAGTGATGAGCTATTCTTTGTACCCATTCACAAATATTGTACCAGTCAAATTTCCAGTTAACCAAATATTCATGCCCCGAGGAGAACACTAATATAGGGAGCGCAGTCACTGCAGAAAAATGGATAACATTAACATTTCTGGTCATTTTATTGGTAATTACAATTTTGATCAAATAAGCATACAAGTCTAAACAAACACCAAGGATATGATTCATTTGCAAAAATGAGTTTTAATTCCGGTCGGATTTTGACTTTAAACGTTTACTCCCTAACAGCGCTGCCTCGTCTCCCAACATATCTTCACTCTGCAGCTCTCTTTTTAGCCTCTCATCGTTTCGGCTGGAGGCCTGATGATTAAAGATGCAGAACATCTCTCACTTCCTCTCTTTTCCCCACCTTTTCTTTGTCGCACCACTCCATTTCTCTATATCCTGTATCTATCCATCACCCCCCCCCCCCGTCATCATCTCCATTCTCTATTTATACACACCTCTGTCATCCATCTTCCCCAGAAGTCGTATCCTCTCGACCAGGGAAAGGAGCCATAATGTGTGAAAGGTCTTAGAATAGTGGCGCTGATCTGAGCAATGTTTCTGACGAGTGAAATTTGTACAGTGCCAAAATCATACTGAACTCATCACAGCCGACTGTACGAAGGCACTGGGAACAGCAGAGTTCAACCAAAGAGGTCAAAGTAGACATTACACTCAAATTAAGTAGCTGTTGTGCAGAGCTGACAGGTTAAGTAGTTATTTCATGCAACATAACAGAAGTGTGACCAGCACTCTTCCCTCACTCCATTATGAATGAGGCTTTTGCAGACTAAAGAGTATGATCAGGCAGTGACAGCATACATGGCTCTGTGTTAGTTCACAGGGAAGTGTTGTTGCTCGGCTCACCGCGCGTGACTCAGTGGAACGGACTCCAGGGAATCCAAGGAGGATTTTCCTTTTGTTCAAAACACATTTTCATTGAGAGACAAAGCATGGCATTATAGTCCTTAAGGAAAACCTAATGGAGTTATTTTGAATACATTCCTCCTGTGAGGGTGTGTGTATGTGTGAGCCTCAAAAACACTCCCAAACAGACGCGTAATAGTTCTATTCATGCCAGTTTTTTTCAAACTTTTTACACCGTATACCACCTTAGAAAGTACTAAATCCAAATACAAGCATTAGAACTGACATTAAACTACAGCATAGGGCAAACTTAATCAGCTACAGACAGTTCACGCAAGAGGCAGGTCTATTCCTAATAAAAGGATTATTATTTTGATGAAAGAATCAGGGCTGATTTGATGAAAAAGTGGTACTCATGGGCCACACTAGCAGACTGATACTGAAACAAAATAATGCAAAACTTTTTTTAAATTACATTTCAGCAATCTCATAGTTTAAAGGTCCAGTGTGTAATATTTAGGAGGATCTATTGGCAGAAATGGAATATAATGTTTTCATTAGTGTATAATCACCTGAATATAAGAATTGCTATGTTTTTATTACCTTAGGATGAGCCTTTTATAACTACAGAAAGAGTGGCTCCTCTTTTACAGAGGTTACCATGTTGGACCTACATGTTTCTACAGTAGCCCAGAACAGACAAACCAACACTGGCTCTAGACAGGGCTCTCATGACATCAAAATTTACATCACTATAGCGGACCCTGTGCCTTAAAGTATAGGCACAAGGCAGGGCGAACCCCTGTCTCGCCTGTCAACAACTATTATGATAAAAATAAAAAATAAAATTTTATTATATAAAAAAATACAATTACATAGGATACATATCATGATATTATCTGTAGTTTTAGAACCAATACTGGTGGAAAAATAAAACAAATACATACGTGCACTGCTGCCCTTGCAGCTTCAGCATCAAGTAAGGGAAACTCCAGCTGCAGAGTGCGCCCTGCAGCCTCGACATCAGGTGTGCCCCCGACAAATAAGTATCCTCACTATGAAAGATAGCTCTGTAAGGGGCCCACAGGGTTAGCAGTGGGGGGGGGCCTCATGTGTTTGCGTATTGGTGCTGTGTGGTCCTTCGCCTACTCTCAAATGTGGAGAGTAAAATTCCTCCTTTAGTCATCTCATTGATGGCTGGAGCTTAACTGCGCTCTGTGGTTAAACTCTCCTTTCTTAGATCCTGCCCTCCTTTCTGAACCATGCTGGCAGCACTGCTCTTGGGATCCACCACTTTAGTTCAGACTGAAAATATCCCAAAAATTACAGCGCAGATTTCCATGAATTCTCTGACGGTCATGGGCCCTAACGGCTGCAGCCGAATGACTTTAGTGACGCCTTGCCTCTAGCGCCACCGTCAGATATTTTTGTCTTTTAGTGAAATTTCATGGAATACCATGAAGTGTGGTATCGACATTCATGTCCACCCTCAGGATGGATTGTAATAGCTTTGGCGGTCCTAAAGAGAGAATGTCAAACGGGCTCCTGTCTCACCTCTGTGTTGGAAGGGAGGAGGGGGTGTTTGAGCTGTCTGACCAACCAACAAGCACCACTGATGAAGTATATTTACCTAGATTCACTGTTCCTCTTTTCTCCGCATCATGTTATCCCTGTGACAATGGTGTGTGCATTGCGGTGTATTTATGTGTATTTATGTTAAGCATTCTTAATCTCATACATTTAGAAGGAGAGTTTTGATTAAAATAAGGATATGGGAATAGTTCAAGAGAATTTCCTCACAAGTAAAATAACAACTTGTATAAGTGTGAGTGTGTGTGTGTGTGTGTGTGTGTGTGTGTGTGTGTGTGTGTGTGTGTGTGTGTCACCATGGCCCTGCAGCCCACCCATGGTACCACTCCACTGTTGTTAAGTCTCTTCTATTCCTTGAGGTACCAATTAAACTACTAATCCTGCTACCCAGCCACCTTAGTGTGAGTGTTGCCTAATGCAGGGACATAAGAGCTCTCTCACACACACACAATCCACATGTCCACATACACACTTCTGCCCAACCTACACTCTCTGTGTCCTCGCCTCACTTCTTCTTTCTCTTATTTTTCATTCTGTCTCCATCCCTCCATGCTTCCCCCTCTCTTTCTCCCCCCTCTTTGTTTGCTCTCTCTTTCCCTTCCTCCTCTCTTCTTTCACCTCCCTCCATCCCTCTACTCTGTTT